ATTTCAGCATACTCAAAGAGCAAAAAGAGAGAAAAAGCAGCGCCCAACGTGGGGCTCGAACCCACGACCCTGGGATTAAGAGTCCCATGCTCTACCGACTGAGCTAGCCGGGCATACAGGAATATGAAGAAAGGAGAAAATATTCACTGCACCCACATTGCTTGCTGTAGCCTTATGCAGCCCTTCATAATCACATCGTCCGACTCCATCTAGTGTTATTTATGATCTAGATGTGAAAGTTGCTTGATTACTTCCACTTAGAAATATTAGACCTATATGCTAGTAAGACCCACTTGTCTTAACTATCTCATAGTCCTTATCCACCTCCAGAGATATATCTAAAAACGATATTTTTGGCTCATCTCAAGTTCTGAAGTGAACTGTATATTCTCATCGCTAATTAATTCCTCTTTTCTTCGTTTAATTCGATTTAAATAAAGGAAAGAAAGGAATTAGTGTGGTGGATAACGACTAGCCGGGCATAGAGGAATATGAAGAAAGGAGAAAATATTCACTGCACTCATATTGCTTGCTGTAGCCTTATGTGACCCTTCATAATCACATCGTGTGACTCATAGGCGGCGGAAATATGTATGTATAAGTGTGTTGAGCAATTCATTCTAAATGTACACTGTATTATATTTTCTGATGATGAATAAACTCTGTTTGAAAACTTCGAAAGAAATTTATAAATACTGAGTGGTTCAGTTGCAACCACACGTGATTCATTAAACAGGACCTTTTATAGTTATTGTCGATTGTAGATCGACAATCATCACGGGATAAAATAACGAGTTATGCATAAGTTTTTCAATAAATATTGATCATAATTTCTCCATGTTTCCAATATTCTGGACACTCCGCCTTTCTTTCGTTGAAGGAGCAAAGTCTAAACTACAAAACGTGTATCAAACGGGGAATGGGTGATATTTCCTTTTTGCTCAGTTTTCGTGAAGAAATAGTCGTTTGTCTAGTTACCAGTAGAAAATCAATTAGTTAGCATTAATTAACAATTCTTGAATTAATAGATCGATTTTTTCCAACTTTTGAACTAAATGTTGATCCACTCAATTTTCTATAATCTTATGTAAGAATAAAATCTAATCTTGTTTACTTCCTGCTCCATGAGACGCCTCTGCTGAAAGTCTTAAGTGTTAGATGCAAAACTTCAGTGTTCAGAAAAGTTGCCTTTTAGAAACTTTTAGAAAGTTCAGAAAAGCACGAAAAGAAATTTAAAATCTTTTTAACGGGATTAGATCGATACAATTTGTCATGGGCTATTCTTTCATGTACTGGGTTCTAGTAAAAGGTGATTATTTTCGACACCAGTAAAAAGATTTTCCGGAGATGTTACAAGAAAATTTTCTCAGTATATTTTTAATGATGTTTAGTTTTTGAATTGTTCTCGATCAGGTTTTGCGAAAGAAAATTTTGTTTGATACACGTTTTGTAGTTTAGACTTTGCTTTTTCAAAAAAAAAAGGGTGAAGCCTCTAGAACATTGAAAACATGGAGAAATTGTGATCAATATTTACTGCAAAATTTATGCATCACCCATTGTGTCGATCGCATTCCGAAACATTAAAACGTCCTCATCCGCTATAAGTCGTACGATTCTCAAATATATTCCACGAGCCAGTTAGTCAATTCAAATTTTGAAAAAACTCTTGATTTTGAAGGATACCAGTTAAACAAAATGTATAATCGAAATAACTCCTCACCAATTCAACTAAATGCTAACCAATTATTAAATATTAGTAAAAAATATTATTATGTAGAAAAGCCTTATGTTGGAAAACCTAGTAATGTTTTGATAGATCCATTAAAACTATTATTAACCCTTTCAGTCCCGGCCTTTTTTCGAAGAAGTGAAAAATTATTTTTTTAAATTTCTTATTTTATTTCATTTGTATTTCGTATTTCAAAGAAAAGGAAAGATGTTTTTATGAGAATACAAAGAAATTCTAACTAATAATGCGGTTTTGTGTGATAATCTTTAAAGCAAACAGGAACACAAAGAGGAACATCACACTCTGCACAAATATAAGTTGTTTGTGTTCTTATTTGGTGTGATGAACATACAATACATTGTCTTCGGCGTATTCTATTATTTCTATCGACACTTGGTATATATGATGGAAAATGTCGTTCTGTGAGGCGCAAAGGTGCTGGTTGATCCATTGGTCTGCCAACGGAAGTTGATCGCTGCGATCCATATTTTTCAAAAAGAGCACGGATGATTTCTAATCTAAACTCCGAAAATGCCTGATTGTGGGAGGATGTGTGAACGTAAGAAATAGTAATTCGATATGTCAATTTGAAGATATTGTTGACCTCTATTGAACTGTGAAATCAGCTTAAGTACTTTAATGCTGAAAAGAAAAACATGGGTAACTCCTTAAGGAGTCGCCGGGACTGAAAGAGTTAATAAAATAGTAATCCTCAATCAGAACTATGCATCATGTACACAACAACTGAAACTATCAAAAGGTATTGATCGGTCTACTACTGGTAAAAATGGAAAAGTAAACACAGAATTTGCTTCACTGCTAAAATATCAACCGTACTCTATCTACGAGTCAGTTGGTACATTTAAGGCTAAAGTGGTTATCTTAACGTTTATAAACAGATATAATCTAACAACTATATAAGCAAGATCAGTAAGCTTTTAAAACGTTGAAAAAAATGTCGAGTTTTTTAGTATCACGAATTTATTTCGATTTTACAATAATCGAGCCCTTATGACCGAAACGTGCACAATGAGGTATACAATAATAATAAATAATCTCAGCTTTTGTAAATGTTTTGGATAAAGTGCCCTGCAATGGATCGATGTCGAAGTTATTTGTACCAGCTTTTCTTGTTTTACAAGATTTACCATCAACAGCTCGCGTGACTGTATGTCTAATTCCGTTGACAAAATCTTTATTGATCCATTTAACTGTATCGCCACTCTTAATTGTTAAAATCTTCGGGGTAAATGCATAATTGGCAACTACGACGTTGTGGGTTTTTGGTACCACCAAATCAACACTAATTAAAAAAATTAATAATATGGAAAAAATTATTATAGACTTCATAATTATTCTAATCGGTGATATATTTTTTTTGTGAAACCGTACAGAAAGTTAAAAATAACAAAATTCGAAAAAAATTTAATCTACTTCAAATAATACGAATAAATACGACAAAATTACAGTATTTATCTGATTCTTCTGGTATCTAATATTCCTGGTCATGCATGACTTCTATGGGTATAATATTATTTGTATATTATAATGCATATTATAGAGAAAAACGAAGGTTATCAGTTGGTTTCTGAATCTCCAGAAAGAAAAGAGTTAGAATCTTCGGATTGTCACGCTTCGAAGCACCTTTTCCTTTTTAATCACTTATGACTAGCTTCGGAATCATATTGTGTCTCAGGTAGTTTCGCTGTCATGCTTGCACAAATTAAAACGATATTGTTGCAACTAAACTATTTGATATCGTTCATGACTATCAGAGCATGGATACTTGTACTTGACTTTTTGTACTTTTCAAGTACGAAGTACTAATACTTGTACTTTACAAGTGTACTTGTAACAAACGATAATGTCTACTATCCCGTTCTAGAATTCAAATATTATTAAAATCAATCGAATGTCCTGTTTTCATTACATGTTTTTCGAGAGGTGATTTTTGTTTAAACTCTTCTTGTACTGTGGATAATTATGTCAAAACAACTGATGATACGTTCTTCGTAGCAATGCAATCACTGCATCTCAAATTCTTTTCGCTTTGCAATTTGATTATTTGCTTTCTTGAAGCTATTTTTATTTATTTTGTACTTCAGGACAGTCATTACAATTAATATCATAGACAACTCCAGATACATGTTCGATGTTTAATTTAACTTTAATCAGGAAATAACCTTTAATAGTTTCAGGAACGAAACTGCTGCGGCTACACCCCTAGTTCTGAATTTTGACGTTAGATTAAAAATCTGAGAAGTACGGCCACGAGCTGAGATAAACTACTTCACAAGCTTGAATAAATATTAATCAATACTTGATGTTGATATACTGAACTCTTTAGCCAAGATTTGTGCAGAAAATATTTTCTTACTATTTGAACGTTTATCTAACTTTCTTAGTCAGTGCTTTACTTCGTATTATGCGCCCTTTGGGTTGTATAAAATCTGTGATACTCATCGTGTTGTTTATTTCCATTCATCTCTAAATTATACGAGGTGCCAAAGCACTGTTTAAATGACAAAAAAAGCAAATTACTACTAGTAAAGTACTAAATGTTGCACATTTTCACTTTTCGTAATTTTCAAAACGAAAAGATTCTCCAATAATAACGTATTCATTTGTGAGGGTTGTTAAAATACCAAGGGGGAAAAAGCGGACTCCTGGACTCCTGGACTCCTGGACTCCCATGGACTCCTATGAACTCCTATGAACTCCTATGAACTCCTATGGACTCCTGAAGTCCAAGAGCAAAGTGTCCTTTTTTGGGAATCAATTCCCAAAAAAGAACAAAAGTGTCCAATTTTTGGGAAGTGATTCCCAAAAAAGAACACTTTGCTCTTGGATTCCTAGACTTCAGGAGTCCATGGGAGTCCAGGAGTCCGCTTTTCCCCCCTTGTAAAATACACAAAAATGTGTAAAGTACTTTTATCTAAGAAGATGTGGCAGCATCGATCAAATTTAAATAATATAATAATAAGAATATCTAAATGTACTCTGTTCTATCTATGCTATACCATGAAGTTTCACAGAACTTTTTAACATCAACATAAAATACTTAGGTTTATGAGAAGGTTTTCTAGAAATGTCCCAAAGTAAAAGAATATTTTTTACTATTCTCCAGTAAAAAATCATATTGAGCAGATAAAATGAAGTACATTTTGATACTCTAACTTAGTTTGGATAGATTTTGAGTGAGTTATGATTTTTCTTATTTTACGCGAAAATCATGCGTTTCTTCTTGAAGTTTTTCGCATTTTTCGGTCTTAAAAAATCATTTCCGAAATTGAAAAATTAGTTCTCTATCAAACCATGTGTAAAAGACGGAATTTTTTTCTAGTATTCTATCTTCTACTATCCACAACAAAATAGAAGGCAAATGCATGTTTTTGTAATAATGCTTGAATGAAATGACCTAGGGACGGAGTATTACTCGTAAACTTTCAGAATTCATAGGTTTTTGGGTTTCTTTCGAAAAACCAATGCTGTCACGAGCTAGAGCTTGGTCGATTATCTATGAAGTGTAAGAGCTAGAAACTTCGTTCTTGCGTCATTCGACGTAGCTCGCCATACTCTACTTTGGGTATAAAAATGAAGGTATGTTGTTAAAGACTCGAATTTTTAGAACCGTTTTTCGGCGCATGATGCTGTGACAAAAATAGGCCCTAAAGTCGAAGTTCTTCTCATTAAAAGCTAATTTGCTGCGAATTTATAAGAGCTAATAAAAGCGCCTCGAGCAAAGTTTGTAGAGGAGTAAACGAGCCACTGATTGCTAAAAAAGAATCTTTCCAATGAGCTTTCCATTCCTCAATAATTGTGTTTTATCGTCGTGACGCTGTGACACACGTTTTTCTCAACAAAGTTTGGAGCACTAAACATTACTGAAAGGATTTCATTTTCACAGACTTAGGTTTAGGCATCCAATATAGACTAACGTGAAAATAAAGCTGAAAAAATGTTTTCACTTTCTTAGAATTGTGTGAGACTCTTAAAACTTAAAACTTTATTATAAAGCTTGTTTTGAGTCTAAACTTTAAAAGAAACATACCTTCTTGTGGAGAATCGAATTATCTATCAATTAGTGTGGCCTGCCATTTTTATTAGGAAAAGTGTCTAGTTAAGGAAACTGAAAATACAGTTTTCGAAAAATGCAAAACTGGATTTGCGGTGCCAAAATTTAACTTCTTTAAAAAATAATGTGAGATTCGTAAACAGTGCCAAAACTGTATCTAGTGATATGATCCTTTCAGTTATTAAAATTATGTAAAATTATTAGTTATTAATAATTATGTCTCCTCCTGAGACGCTATTTCAAATGATTAGTGGCGTGTCTTTCTACTTATACTGAACTCCGGTACATAACGATATCTGACGACATAATATTTTACGTTGACAGTTCGGAACGTCAACTGATGAGATGCAGTTGCCAGTTCAGAAACTCAACGGCAGAACCGTCGCCGTTCCCATTCAAATTTTTGTCAAACCAATGTGAACTACTACAGCGAGCGCTATTCGAGACAATTCAGTATTCTTTGGCCCCAAAACGAAATGATACAGTATTTTGGCAGTTTAACTGTACAACAGCCTGAATTTTGTTTTTTCGTTTTATAGCAGCAAAGTTTATCAGTACAGTCTTACCATTAAATGGAGACTCTCAAACTTGAATCTAAGAGATAACCTAATTCTAAGTTTTCAAAAAGCTTTACAGCCACTCCTGCCTGAACAAAAATGTTTTCTGCGGCGGGAAGTAGAAGAAACGATGTGCGGCCAAAAACAGCAGGAAATTTTGGCTCCAGGCCGAGTCTATCGACAACACTTGTTTTGTGCTCGCGGTCTAAGAACCTTCTTAAAAATGGATTGCGTTGCGAATTTTTACAGTTAACACCTTTAAAAGGAAAAAATTCTTTCGTCGCTAAAAAGTTACAAAAAAATGTACTCGTACTAAACAGAGCTGTACTTTGGCATCTGTATCTGAAACGCTAAAAGCTCTTTCTAGATAAATGTCATATATTTAAAATGTGCAATAAAATAATAAATGGGAAAAATTAGGAGAATTTTATCTTTTTATCGGAAAGCTGTGGTTAAATTTCCTGCTCAAGAACATTTTGATTTTTCAATATCTTCATATTTTGGTAACGAGAATATGTCACGTGTTAAATTACTGGAGATACCACTTGTTGTAATATGTTGGGCTGTATCGTAAAACTTTTGCCATGTTTTAGCCAAATCTTCTGTCCATTTGATATCGAGTAACCATTCTCTGAATTTGTAATAACTGGCAGCATCGTTTACCCTCCTTTAATAGAATAAGTGAACTACGACCCGAAATAAAATCATACACACTCTTACGTTGCATTAAAGAATGTTTCCCACTGCGATCCGTCTAGTGACGTTTGACAAAAGTAGATATTCGGCATTCTTGGATAATAAGTGAACATATGCATACACATTTCATCTTGTGTTCTTTCTCCACCCTTTGAAAAAAACAATCGAACAACCAAGATTTTGAGTATGTTTATGAAAGATCAAGACTCACCAGTGTTATAAGATTTTTGTTTTTTGTGTTATAAATGCAACGAGTGGCAAATTCATCTCCCTATATAACTCTAACGGTAAACATATACTGCTGCTGCTACTGTGCTCAACTTACCGGATATAAGACAATCGGTTCGGTCAGACGATTGTCAAATTGATAATTAAAATCATAGGCATCACTATTATATAAATATTTAACAACTCTATTGTTACGAATCAATTTTGACCAAACAGTCACACCTATATGGACAAGGCCACGAATTAAATAACACATTTACAACATATAGTTAAATATGCGGCTACCTTGTAAATGTGTGTGTGGAAGAGCAGAAATAACAGTGATACCTTCTTTTGGAAAATTCTATAAGATAACAGCCAATGACGAAAAAAGACAAAGGAAATGATATAAAAAGACTTACTTTTGTATGAGTTGCTTGACAATATGAATCGACAATAAACTGATCGACATTTGGGGGTATTGCCAATGCCATAGGGCTAGAATCTGTACCCAACGTTAAGTAGCCAATATCACGCTCACGTAACTTTTCACCCAGATAAAACCTCATTCCCGAACTATCACGACGACCTAGAAAGGAGAATACAACACTGAGGAGTAACTCGTCAACTCGTATACGTTTTGAGTAGCAAACTCAAGATGAAGAGAGAGGCGGGCCCCGTCTGCTCCTGCTGTGAAAAGTCCTCAGAGTAGTATGAACTAAAAATATTCCAGACATTGGCCAGAAGACGAAAAGAGTGTCCCTATTGTCTGTTGATGTTACGAATAGTCTCTTTAATGGATTATATAAAAAGAATTACTCTGACATATACAAGCGACTCAGAAAGCGCATTATGGCCTCCGTTTGCACTTTAAAACTAATTAAGTACATAGCCGGATACTAGTCCTCATGAGGAATTGTTTGAATTTGCTTTTAGTTTCCATAGAGAAAAAAAGCAAACAATCTCATGTGACAGTTTCAAGCACGTAACAAAATTTTTCAAAAGTGTTCAATAAATAATGACAAGCCTAAAATCAGTTATATATTTCGAAAGACACTTTCTGTGGCTACAATATGACTGAGAAAGAACGGCAACAAACAACATCAAAAAGAAAAAATGATTTTTTCGTCAAGAGGTGGTGCCAAAAACCTGATCTATCAAATTGAGAGATTCAAATCTCGAAAATGGCAGTAGAAATGGTCGTTTTCGAAAGTGTCATTGGCTTTCTCCTTCTCCTTAGAATTATCGATTTTTACAGAAGTAAAGATTTCGAGTTTAATATATAGATCGATAACAAAAAAGTGTATCCATCTTGATTCCGACCATATAGATGGTCTTTTAAAAGACTTTCTGAAAGTTCTATAAAATTGAGCTTTAAGAAAGTCTTGTGCTTTACTGAACTTCGGATCACAATGCTCATTCCGAATTCGTCAATTTCTAGACTAAACATTTCCAATCAAAATAAGACGTCTCCGAGCTCTAGACAAAGCTCCGATCAACAATCATTAAACTTTTCCGAATGCTCTGAGAACGCCATCATATCTCAAAATAGAGTTGTCTTCCGATGGTAAAAAACATTAACATTGTTCTGAGAAATTTTAGATAGTAGAAAGATTTGGATGGTTTAGTTTTCAAGAAAAATGTTAGAGCAACAGCAGTACAGAGCTGGACTTTCGATTTTCTCTTCCAGGGTGAAGAATAAAAAGGATTTCTGGAAGACTTGAAGGATTTTGACTGAAAACGTTTACTTTAATGAACAGCGAAAAATATGGAAAATCCGACTGAGTTTAGTGTCAAGTGTCGTCGCCAAATGGGTTGCGGTACAGAAAAAGCATCACATCGAGCAGCGATATCGAAGGGCGTTACCATCGGTATTACAACAATATAGTACCACCAACACAGGTTTAATACGTCCTTCAGTCTTTTCATTTATGTGCTCTTCAGAAGAAGAAAGTCCTTCGAACAATCTGTTTTTAGCTTCATGACCTATCTGATAAAAAATGAGTTTTTAATAAATTTTATCGGATCAGAAAATCGTCTTAGTTTCAATTAATAAGGCCGCGATCGGACACATATTTGTTGTCCCAATAACCATGAAATATGGGCCATTTTTAGACAAATTTCATTCTTCGAAAGCATTTAAGACTTAATGGCCAGATCTCAGACCAAATCATGAACTCCTCGGATGCTGAAATTTCTACCATATGTGTAAAAGCTTTTTTGAGCACGTAGAAAAACATGCTTCCTTTTCTAACAAATGTTTCAGCGAAAAAGGAATTAGCGTTTTTTTTCAAAACATAAAAAGCGCTCTAGTTTATTGATTGTTGTACAAATATGGTAAGAATTTCAACTCAGGGAGTGAATATTCTGCTTTAGGGCCGAACAATAACTTTTAACATTCAACAACAAGCTTATCCAATCTTAGCGCGCGTTTCTTCTATTCAGGACCGCCGATGAATACATACCGACAGTCAGTGGTTTATTATCATAATGCATTGATATTAAATAATACTTAACAGGAAAATCAGCTCCTACTGGATAGCCGGCTTTATCAGGAAATTCGACGATCTATAACATGCAAACAGAACACAGAGCAATATAGAAAACAAGTGAGATGAGCTCGCTCACCGAATCGCCTCCAACAGCCCAGCCTGTCGCAATGTTGCCAATACATAACTCGGTTAGTGGATAAACATCGTAACAATCACCATCAGGCAAATTATTGTCATCAAATTCTGCTGTTGGCTCACATTCGTACATTAACAAATGATGGACAATATCTCGGTTTTTATCTTCGATTAACATTTTATGCTAAATACAACATAATCTATAGACTACGAGATATATATCTATACTTTCCTTGATAAATACTCACAGCAATAACGTGGCGTTTCCCCGCATAAGCCGGTATTTTATGGATTGAGCAGTGGTATGTTGTATCATTTGCTGGAACAGCGTACTATAACAATAAGATGGTAGAACAGTCTTTCTTTGTCTACGTTTTATCGCTCAAACACTTACGTTATGTAAACGAAAATCAAAATAATCTAATTTAGCAAATTTTTCTTCATCTGGTGGGCTTGTAAATGATAACAACGACAAAGTGCGACTGTCTCTTCTTGTCGCTTCATGATATGAGATGTCTTCATTTTGGCTGGGATCAGTTAGGCCCCAAGCAAAGATTAGCTTATTTACTCCTGACTATTGATGTATGACAGAGTATGACAGAAATAAAAGAACATTTAACAATAAGCAAGATCATTTACTTTTATTGGATAATCCAATGAATCACATGTGTCTAATTTTCGTTTAAATTGAATGGCAGTCCAACCATTTTCTTCTTTGCCATTCAAAGCAAACCAGTCACTGCTTGTGTTATCAATTAGCGGTCGTTGTTCGCCAACAGCATGACGATCCTGATCAAGTAAAATGCCGGTAATGCAAAAAGAAAAGTTCTTTTTTTAACAGGATTCGATAAATCTTATGGAATTATGAAGGAAAACGTCGATTTCAAGTTCTTGAAAATAATTTTTCAAGACAAAGTTTTTAGTTTTTTACAAGTTCGACATTTGGTTGAGCTAAATTTTTGAAAATAAACAAGATTTTCGTGTGTACCGTTGTATTTATCTACCGAAGCTACTTTATCCTTGTATCTCATGCAAAGCTGACTATAAAACACTAGATTTGATTAAATTACAACTAAATTAATTAAATACGAGCAGAACTGTAGGCACGCTTAGAGTGCATCTCGCAAACGTATCTAGTTTTTCTAGTTGGAAGATAAAATAATTTTTATTTCATTATACTCATGGGAAGAAAAATACGCATTGCTTTTTCTTAAACTACTTCTTTACTGGAAAAGCCTAATTTTTTTACATAAACAGGTTTTTTATATTATTTTTAATGCAAAAATTTAAACTTCTCTTTAGCACTAGTACTCTGCAACAGATCTGCCAATATTTGGTTTCGTCGATCATTCTTTACGGTTGTGAGATTTATTCTGACACTACAAATGAAAACATAGCAAGAGTAGAGCAGTTTCAGTACGAGCTAGCCAAGGTAGTTAGTGCCGCCTTACACCTGACTATTGAAGATAAATTACTTAAAGTTTTAGGATGGCTGCCATTTAATGAGGGATTTACAAATCGAAAAGTGAGTCTCATGCAAAAAATTGTGATAGGAAAAGCACCCGAGGTTCTACAAAATCATGTCGCATTTATACAAAATAATCGGAATGGTTTGAGGTCTCAGAATTGGAATGTATTTTTAATTCAGGAAAATGTTTCAACAAAACGCCAACTCAGCAAATAAACTCGATTGTACGATCTTTCCTTCTTTCCTTTTACCATAAAATTATGGAATCAACTCGATATAAAACTGCGAATGGCCAGTTCTATGAGAAAATTTAGAAAACTGTAGGATGAGTTAAAAGTTACACCTGAGAAGAAACCAATAGTGAAAGATGTAAATAGAAGAGCAGATATTGTTTTTCAGATATTGTTCTGCTCATGTTCTCATTTAGAAACAGTAGAACACTTCTTTCTGCATTTGTCCAGACTACACTACTGCTCGTATAAAATTATTTGATATATTACATGAGTGTGATCCTGATCTAAATATAGATATGAATATCCTCCTTCTATCTTCTCCTTCTCATCTCTCCAACTTTGAACAATACGTAAAAGTTTACGAATCGATAACTATCTATCTATATGAAACGAAACGTTTTGTAACAAATTAGACAAGTTTTTATATACTAAACCTTGTTTTTTCTAATGTGTGTGTTATATTCTACTAGAACCCCACGTGTTTTTTTTCTACTCGTAAAATTTTCTGTGATTCTAAAACAATCAGTCTTTCTATTTATTTTTATTTTAATGTTTACTAACTATTTTACTAACTTATTCATTCAATTTTCGATGCTGTTTCCTTTCTATATTGAACAACATAGATTTCAACGGACATACGATCAAATCTCCATAAGATTTCCAGAGGGTTTCTAAGAGATCGGTTTTTCAGAAAAAAACATTTTATTTAAGCAGTTAATCAAAACTATCGTAGTTGTTAGAACAGGAAATGATCTACAAAGCAAAATCTTGTCGGTATCTTTATGACATTTTGAAGGTACACAAGCCTTCTTTTTTCTACGTTTTATTTATTAGCATTTATTTTACTAGTAAAACGTGAATATGCTAATGACAAAATATAGTAAAGAAACTGACAAGATCTTGCTTTTTACTATCGTTTCTTGTTCTAACAATTACCGTAGTTTTCGATCAATTTCTCAAAGAAAATGAGTTTTCCAGGGCTGTGTTCTATCGAATCATATCAAAAAAATAATTCTTGCTCCGTTTTGCTTTGCTGGTGCGTTATATATGCAAAGTACCTTTGAAAAATGAACTTTAACTACAGCACACATACCTGAAAATGAACAGTTCCCTTCTGGTCGACCCATCCAAGGCCAATATCTGCACCTTTCATGCCGCCAGCTATAGAGAGATAGTATAAAATAAGGCAGGAAAGAAAAGACTAACGTTTAGATACCAGGACTAATCCCCAATGCGATCCAGCCCAATGTTTTTATCTGTAACTCAAATGTGATTTCGGTTTTATCATTGTTCACAGACCAATGAAGATCTGCAATATTTGCTTTTAATTCTGTTGAATATTGATACTTCATAAACGATTTTGGCCCACTTAATAAACATTGCGATTCACGAATTGTTGCACACAGAACAATAACCTGAAGCAGTAATTGTTGTTAGATACAACCACACATCGCTATCTCATATATAGATACTTACATGCAACAGAGATATCATATTGTTATTCTAGAGTCGATCTTTTGCGTTTAATCTTTCGTCATGCTTATATATATTGGGTCAATTTGTTTCTTTTTGTGTAAAAACGCCTCGAACGATATTTATTGTTTTAATGATCATTTGATATTTAGAGTTAAAGATTAGTTACAACGTATTCATAATCTGTCAAAATAAGGTCAATAATTTCCGCTTTATTTCAGCTTAGAAAGAAATATGAAAACTAAAGTAACTTAAGGAATGAAAATTTACTAATCCCGAAAAATGTGAAAATTTTTTTCTCAAACGTAGAATCTTTATCAATATCAGTTACGATGGACCGAAAAAAAGAAGTTATCGTCCAATTTTCATTGTATCCTTAGTTAAAATACAGTATTTTGTACGGATTTGAGGATGAAGCAAGTATCAAGCCGATCCTAATTCGGCCATTTTATACAGATATCCATTCATAATCTGTCAAAATAAGGTCAATAACTTTATTTCATCGTGAAGAGAAAATATTATGAAACCCAAAGCAACATGAGGAATGAAAATTCACTAACCCTGGAAAATGAGGACAAAACTATTCCCAAACAGAGAATCGTTACAATATCAGTTGTTATGGAATTTATTTAAACACAGTTGTTTCAAAATGAATTTGAATGACTCATAATTATTCTAATCGTTGATATATATTCTTTTGAATGTTAAACATAACTAAATTAGGAAAAATTTAATCTACTTCAGATAACACGACTAAATACGACAAAATTACAGCATTTGTCTGATTCTTCTGGTATCTGATTAGAGTCCTGCGAGTTTAACCTGATCCCAATTCCAATTCGGAATCGAGGACCCAAAAGCTTTTTCTTGGGTTCAGATTCGGGTTCGAGACGGGTTTCCATTCATCTGAACGGGATCCGGATCGGGTTTGTTTCCGATCCCGATTCTTTTAGTCTGATATAGGAGGAGATAAGGGACAATTCTAAATAAATAAAAAATAATGGAAAATAAGGAAAACGGACAGGTGTTTCGCACTAGACGTACAAGCGAGCAAGTGAATTTTATTTTTGTATCTCTACGTGTAGAAATTTCCTAATGTTAAAATGAAAGAGAACATTAATTCACTAAAAAAAGATATTTCGGGTTCGAGTGGGTTCGGGACGGCTTTTATTTGAAAAAATCGGGATCGGGATCCAGAAAAAGTTTTGGCATGTTGGGGTTCGGGACGGGTTTCAAATCTGCGAGATCGGATCGGTTTCGAAAATCTCAAACCCGCTCTATATCTAATCTTCCTGGTCACGCATGACTTCTATGGGTATAATAGTGTTTGTATCGTATAATGCATATCATAGAAAAAAATGAAGGTTATCAGTTGGTTTCTGAATATCTCTAGAAAGAAAGAGTTAGAATCTTCGGATTGTCACGCTTCGAAGCATCTTTTCCTTTTAATGATTCATGACTAGCTTCTTCATCACATTCTGTTTCACATAGTTTCGCTATCGTGCTTCTTTAAACAGACTTGTACAGCATAAGGATAATAATGCCGATAGGCGCGTTGAATCAGTGTCCAGTGGTTTGAGATACTCTTAAGATGGTATGGAGTATGTGTAATCACCCATCTGGTGACAATTTTTGTTCTCGGTGAAGACTCCAGAATCTTGCTAAAAACGAGTTTTGAACTGAGCATTTTTTGTAGAACTCTTATAAGACGGATGTGGTATAGCCTAATCACCATACAGCCCGAAGTATTCAATTCGTCCTGATGTCCCTGCAACAACGGCCTCCGAAAACCCAGCAGTTATTGTCATCATCAATAAGTTTTAATTGTAACATAGTGGCTAGATAGTCTAAAGTGGTCTCTACAATTCTGCGCAAGGCCGACCTCTCCATCTGTTGTGGTTCAGGACTAGCAGGCACTTAGCCGACGAAATAATAACGAATTACGGGTGACTTAGAAAAATGACTGCCATTTAAAAAGCACAACAGATCCAGAGATCGGACTTGCGCCGAATTGTAGAGACGACTTTACACTATCTAGTCACTATGTTACAACTAATAATCCTATTCAAAACTGATTGATGAGAAAGCTCACTAAGACAGAAAAATGACTAGAGGAGTGTTCCAGAGGCGTTTTCCGTAGGTCCAACGTGTTTTTTGCATGTTCTTGATGACCGAGCCGACCGACCTAGACTGTCTGACTGGCTCAGTTTGTAGAGAATTTCAAGGGCTATTCAACTGTACAGTTTTGAAAAAGATATACAAAGAAATGAATAAGTTATCGAAAAACGTCTTGCCCGATTATAGGCGAAAACGGCTAAATTTTAATAAAATTCAAATATCTCAAGAACGAAAAATTTTTTTAAAAAGAGCGAATCATACTTTTATTCTACGTTCAAGACGAGGTTCCCTCGTAAGTCAGAATATCAGAATGTACTTCATTTTATCTGCTCAATATGATTTTTACTAGAGAATAGTAAAAGATATTCTTTTGCTTTGGAAGATTTCTACAAAACCTTCTCATAAGCCTAAGTATTTCATGTTAATGTTAAAAGTTGTATCGAGCTGAATGCTATAGCGTAGATAGAACAGAGTACATTTAGATATTCGTTTTTCTAATTTTAGGCAAAAACGAGTTATTTCAGCTAATACTGGTTTTCATTGCTTATTTTCTTTTCATCACTTCCTTTCGAAAACCAATGGTGCCACGAGCTGCAGCTTTGTCCAACATATATGTTTCCATTTATCTCCGCAATTTTACTATACATAGGGAAATATCGATTGTGATTCTTTAGAAAACCGGTTGTTGAAAAATAACGTTAAAAGCTCTTTCGCTTAGGAAAATGCTTTAGAGTCGTGACCATCGGATGGCTAAAACCACATGTCTTCATCTATTTTTTATTTCAAGTGATTCAAAAAATAGCCCGAGGCATTCTATTTTGATAAATGTAATAGTAAAGTAAATCTATTAAAAGTATTAGAACAAAATATGGTACAGAACTGCCCGACGTCTGGTTTTATACGAAAATATTTGCTCTACAGTTATGATGGCTCAAAAAGAAATTCTATCTACCCATACCGTTGAAATTCATACTAAAATTTAGAAAAGTAATAAAAAGCTGGGAAACGCCTCGGCCTCTGCTTCTCTAGAATATTTGATTCAAAAGTTTATCATGCTCTTGTGTAAAAATGTCGCATTGTAAATGAATCGAGGCAGAATTGTCTGTTCTACGGAATGAAGCAAGATTTATTTTAAGACTTCTGTATGAGCGGTCTTAATTGAAAAAATACATGTTTAAAAATATGGAATGTTTTAGTTTTGTATTGTTAAGTCTTACATAATTTAGTGTACTATTATGTCTAAACACATGACCGTATAGAGTAAACGTCCCTGGCTCAAATAAGACATGAACGGTTAAAAGAACTTTGATGATTTCTGAGAAAATTAAAAAATACGAAAAGGATGGCAGCGGATAAAGATCAAACTTTTCGTTTAATTAATCGGACCAAAAGGCACATGTTCTGAATCAGATCAAATTCTGAACAAAACTGTCGATTCAATGCAGAATAGATTAATTAATGCGGCTGTTATGAAACCTTTCATTTGGATATTTCGACCTGTTTATTCGGTCATTTTCAACATACTAACAACAAAAAACAGCAACATAACCTATATATGGCTCTTTGTTTTCTCTGACATGGATGGAAACATGTGATA